CCAGTGACCAGTTAACAGCACCCACTGATTTGATCAGATAACGCGCGAAGAATGTCGTCTCGCAGCTCTGTACGCTATTCAGTGCGAGCTGGTGGATGGATTTCTATTTTCACGCCAGTTTGAGTTCTTTGCGCTGTCTCCAACACTTCTCCCTCCCCCCATTACATGCATATAACAACTAAAGCTATGTAAAAAGAATGTTACAGGTAACTTCTACTTAAATGGCCTCTCATAAGAACTAATACGCTTTTTAAATTAATCAAATTTTACGAAGGAACTGCTCATTTAACTTCTATTTGCCTCTATGTATCCGAATGCCCAAAGGAGATGCACAAACATCGACCGCATCATGTTCCGACGGACAGGGCTCAACGAACAGCGACTGTCCCTCTACGGCCGACGAGAGCGATTTCTGATCAGTTTGGCGTTTGCTGTCCCCAAGACCCTGATGATCAGCCCGAACACGGCGTAAGTGGTATTTGCGCTAAAGGTTAGCTCCGGAAAGGAATGAAAACGCGCATGTTTGGAGACTACTGTCAGAAATGTTGTGCCGAGGCGTTGTAGGGATTGAGAACGATACAACAACGTTGACTGGATAGCCGGCATTGCGTCAGATGCACCAGTGTTGATACCGAAAGCTGGTAGGAGTTAGTGGCTGGTGTAAGTCGGGAATTATCTTAGGATCACACTACTGAATAACTAAACAGCAAACGGTGTCCGGTCCTGTACGAAGTTAGACATAAATGACGGCGTCAATCTGGTATCGGCTCTTACACCTACCGCAAACGGTCCCTCTTTACACACGACTCCAGCTTATTCAATTGTCATTCGGAGTGCTGTAATGCAGTTTTCGGTAGAAATGGATGCGCAAAGCCAGCGACGCTGTTGGCGAATCTGTAGTTGCCAGCTTTCACAGTCGTAGCCGCCGCCGCTTACCCATGCCGCCTCCGGTCAGCCCAACACCCGTAACTCAACCTCCGGCCTACGGCTCTGTGAAGCCGGTCGATATTTCTCTCTTCACAGATTGGCGGCAACCAGACGGGCTTCGGGCGCATGCACGTCGGCTGACAATTTCCTAGTAAGAACGTTAGCTGGAACTGCTTACTGTGCTGTCTGTACTCTCCCTGTCCGAGTAAAGGCTTGTCTATCCGACTCTCTTCCCTGCGTTCTGCTTTGAGTATTTTCAAGTTGTTGAATATCGCATTTCGACAAGTCTAGTCAGCACTTGATTGCTTGGGCCTAACCTGGGCATGTGTATCACCCATCGACCTGACTCCGCCATCCAACATCGATTCATGAAGAGCAACGATCGATTAGGACTGGTGAGCAGTCCACTGCCTCCAACCGTATTGGATGTGAGGATTGTTCACCAAATTAAACTTGTCAGCTGAGCCGTAAACTTGTAACACGCATGAAAGTGGTGTGCATTGCATTATCTGAGGGGTGTTCGCCCTATCGTTGATCCGTGCTGTAATCGGTCCCTTTTTAGCTCGCCAGAGATGGGCTGGCAGGGTTTCGCAGTGTGAATGCTGTCGATTGTGAGTAACCTTAGGGCAATAGGGCACATATGAGTGCTTTCACGCGTTCGGGAAGGCAAACCAGGACTTTGGGATGCGTAAGATGACATTTAACCATGCCTTTTTAGCGTTAACCAGGCTATGCGACTAACTTTCGCGAGTCGTTTACTATGCACTTGACTTGGTTGGAACAGGGATAACTTCCAAGCTTTGTGAAAAAGTTGCCCGGGACCTTCCAAAAATTCTCCTCCTCCACCGCCACATCAGAATCTACGTACGTCAAAAGCTACCGGGAAGTACGCTCCCAACCGCCATTTACGAAGGAATAGGCCTGAAGAAGCCGCAAGACGGCTCGTGGAACGAAAACCTGATCGAGTACCGAGCTGCCAGATGAACTGGTTACCAGTTAGACTGCGTATTCACACGGGAGCCGATATGTTCCCCGGCAATGGCGGCGGAGACCAGGTCTTGGCTACTCGGCGCAGCACGGAGAGGTCTAGTACCAGCTCGTTTAGTCGACCACCCACTTCCGCACCAGATCGTACACTGTCACCTCCAACGCCGACTGACAAATAATTGCACAGAACAAACTAGGTACAAGAAGAAAACAAACCAAGCCTAAAATCCATTTTCTCTCTACAACCTCAAAATGTGACATCGAAAGCCCATTAAAATGCACATAGGTCAAATAAGCAGATTCAGCCACGAAAACAAATTGACATATGTTGCGTGTAAAGTTGTCTTAATACTGTCGTCGGCCTTCAAACATACGCCAACTTGGAATCCATTTTCATGATCACATTGTTGATAAAACCAAGGTGGTGGTGTCTAAGACCACGTTCAATGGTCCCTCCGAACAATGGGGGTCTCGTGAACCAACTGCTTCCTCCATTGGACAGGAATAAAATCAGAGATATTTTTGATTGAACCCCAATTGAAGTGAGAAACTTATCAAGATAGAGCATGTATACATAAGGTCTAACGCCCCAACACACCACTGAAAAGAGTCGAGGAGGTCTGGCCTTACCGTCCTAGGGAAGCCAATGGCTCGTGTTGATCCGCCCTGATAAACAATGGTATTCCATCCAGGATAGTGACTTTTGGTGAATTATTCGGACGGCGCGGCGAGGTAGGGATTGATAACAGGCTACGTCGTTTAGAGCTCTGTTTTGAGAGCTGGTCGTTTGTTTCTCACTTACGTAGCGGCAGAGTCTTCTGTCTGAGTTAAACAGAGGATGGGCTGGTAAAATCATTCTTGCCACCGATGGAACAAAAAGTTTACTGGTCGGAGGTTTCGGATTCTCACTCGAACCCCTCATTCGAAACAGTCGCAGATAGGCGATTAATGATGAATATCCAAGGCTCTATTTGAGATCGCACCTGGCTACCTAAACAAAATAAGTAGGCTAAATATAGCAATTAACCGCGTGGTGGGTTCGATGTCAAATTATCGGCCTCATTCGGGGACGTGGTCAGAATGACGCGTTGGTGACTAGGGTGTTGAGCAATGCAGAATGATAGACGGAACATTGCCGTCTCAACTGCCAGTACAACATCGTGGCCACACGCAAGGTTGAAAGTCGATTTTAGCAAGCATCTTGGGAAAAACAGTGCCGTGAAAATCCAGTAAGGGGATACGTAGGATGCCATTCAGACCACCGCTCTGGAAGTCCTCAGCCGCCAGTACCGGGATTCGTCTGGTGACAACGATGAGGAAATCCACAATTTGCTCTACCAGAAAAAAAAACGGCTCACAAACGACCTATACCAATGGCAGGACCGACTTCGAAAAAATCAAGGAAATTCAGGGATACACCGACTGCGGTGACATTAGGGCTTTATTCGCGACCATCGAATCACTTTACGATCAGGAAGCCAAGGAGATTGCGCTGCTACTCAGCCGAAACGGCATAACCTGCTGATAGAGAAGTTGCAACGTCTGAAGCTTTGGTCTGAGCACGTCAAGGGCATGCCCAACCAGCCGTCCGCAGGATACGAAGAAACAATCAACCAACTCCATCAAGCGAATGCCGATATCGATCGTCTGCCAGCCCTGCAGGAGACAGACGAGGTAGGTCATCAGACGTCCAGTGGGGCAGTACGAGCAACCGACTCACATTGATTCGAGATTCGGGACCAGCAACTCACTGTTCCAGGTGATGGAGCGACAAAAAAGAATTTCGCAGAGTTTTAAAGATGAGACTATTTTTCATTCGTACAGACGCAAAAGAAACCGTCGAAGATGCCGCAACCACACTACAATCTGTCCCCAGTATTGCTAGTAAGAAATTTACGTGAGTTCTTCTCAGTCGCCGGGCACACATCTGAAGAAGGTACTCCTTCGAGAAACGAAGTGTTGATTCCGAAACCTACGTGGGATCACGGACTTGATTTTCACAGCCGCCAACCGTAAGGAAAGCGCCAGGAAAGACGGACCGACATAGACATTCAGTTCAGGCAACTGACAAAGACCTTCGGCACAGTGGATCGCGATGGAATCATGCTGAGATTCGGATACTCCAGCGATCCACGGAGACGGCCAGATACGCACGGACAGTTTTCGATGCATTCGCGGTGGCAAATAGCGTGCCTCCACCCCTATTCAGTCCCATTTTCTCCCTCATGCTGGTGGACGCTAGTTGGGAGTGCCTACACTCCCAAAAACAAGAACCAACCAATCACTGGAGATCACGTGCGTTTGCTCTCTCTACAGCGCTGTCATCTCAATCAGGCGCCTTCCCATTGGCTACACCCCTCTTCCCGAAGGTCATTGGGCCGAATGCCGGCGAACCACAGTAGCGTGTTATAAATATGCGTCACCTTTAGCTAGTCGCGACTTGCAATTTCCTAATACACATTTTCGTGGCCGGTCGCGTTCTCCTTCTCTGCCGCGTTGGTATTTGGGACAAGGGTCGAGTGCGTATACGCTCCACGGGATTTCAGGCGGGTCATAACAAATTGGCGACGCAGTTTTTCAACTACAAAGGCTGACGAGTACGCCGACTTGAAGCAGATGTTGCAGCAGCAGCTGAAGCTGATGCAGGCACTCATCGTTAAGCTGTCCAACTCGTCCATGGGTCATAATGGGTCTCACGCAAACGAACTTCCATCAAGGTCACATTAAGGAAGTTCCATTGCGGCCTGACCAGCAAGCCGGAGTAAGCCCGAATCACTTCACCAGTTGTCCGGATTCCAGACCGTGATAGTTTCGAAGCACGCTAGCTGCCAGATCCCAGTTCAATCGACCTCATTCTCCCCTTTCCGGTTCACCCGTGGTCTGTCTGCGTTAAGCCGACTGGGGGATCAGATTGGTTGCAACGACTGGCGCAATGTAAAGACTCCGTGAAACGCGTGATAAACGTCTGCCTGGCCCGATTCAGACCTAACACGCAATCGCACACTCCCTCCTTTCAGCCACCCATCCTCAACGAAAAACGACAGAAGGAAATGATAAGGGAGAGGGAAAGAGAGGAAAGCATTCTACTATGAAGAAGGTAAGGGGAGATGACTGCGAGAGGCAGGAGTCACATTCCCATATCCGGGCTGAGCTCTATGAAGCCGGGTGCAAAGGAGAAGATTTGTGAATATGTTCGGGACGCAGTCCTGGGGCAAGGAGGCGGTGATCTCCGAAAGCACAGACTCCTGATGGGCCTCCTCCTCATGCTCTTCCGCCTCCGGCTCCGAAGACGGCGTTCGCAGACGCAGCTCCACGAATTTCTCATAGAGCGGCAGAGGCACTGTGCACTGTTTGAAGAGAAGACTCTCCTGTACGCGAATGCGCCCGTGACGAATGCGACGGACTTTGGAGAGAAGGCAGGCGGACCGAAGGTAGGCGCCAATATTGGCCACCAAATCCACAAAGAACTCCTCAGTCTCGTGAATCGCTTGTACCTCTGCGTGCGAGAAGGTAGAAAAAGTACAAGAATGTGAAGGGTCGCGTGGCCGACCGCTCAAACAGCATACATTTGGCAGGTCGAAAGGAATTGTGCCTAATCTACCAACCCAAGGAGGAAAAATTTTCGTCAGACAGAGAGTTCTAGCAAAATAAAGTAACCAAACATTGATAGTTCGAAGCATTAAAACGGAGCATAGTTGCTGTACTGACAGATCCTCTTCCGACTCATTGGAAATCTGCGATTGAGGGGTTGATCCATTCAGGTTTAAGCGTTATGATCCGGTCTGGTAGTCAGTCAAAATACAAAACGCATACGTATTCGCCTGTTGTTCCAATCACTAACACGGCAGCGAAGACAAAACACGACCGGCAACGAAGAAAATTTATTGACCTACAAGTCGTTCGTTTTGGAAGAATAACGCGGATTGGCCGAAATTCTGCCCAATGGGCTTCGAGAGGAAAATTATAGACCAGCTGAGCAACTTCTCGCAGAAACAGACTAATCAGGCTTTACGGGAGCGGCCAATGGCGAGACGTTGCCGGCATCCCGAATGTAGGAATTCCCAACAAAAAGTGAACGTCTCACAGCGACGCCTTGACGATGAGGCAATGCACAAAGACGGCGCCAGATGAGCATTTTCAAGGGAAGTTATAAAACGTCTAGCAAAAACTATCGATAGCGAAGGGGGTTAACATTGTCCCGTGAGCTCGTCTGCAGTGGAAAGGACTTGAGCGACACCCACCTCACTCGTCAAGTCTCAAGTGCAAAACTAAGTAAAGGCGACAACAGATGAGTGCGGAAGCAGCGACTGAAAAAGGACATGACAGTTTATCGACTTGTGTTGCACGACAGTTCGACCGTCGGAGGTGAAGAGGTCCGTCGTGTGGTTCATGGAGTGGGTGCGGCACTGGCGACTCGAGCGTGGATTAGTTTATGGTGAGACAGACTTTTACGGCGCTTGCCGGTTTATCTCCTACCCTACCTTGCTCCAGCGGCAAGACAGTGTCAGGACGACAGTGGGCAGGCTCGGTCTGTCTACGCGTGCCTACCCCGACCGGACTCTCCATGCGGAGTGAATGAGGCTTTCATAGGGGCGGCTCGGACCCCCCAAGTGTGTGTGCGGGCGAAATAAGGGCCTGAAATAGGAAGAGCCATTGCAGTCTGAGTCCACAGTCCTGAATAGGACTGAGTTATCCTACCAGCTGGCAATATTGTAAATCACGACTATTGACTCCTTGTTTTAAAGCTTGATTGACCGTTGATGGCGTGGAAATTGGAGGGCAGGATCCTAGCTGGACACACCTAACTTCTTCCTCTTTCATGTGCCGCTGACCTGGTTGGGTCGATTTAAATGGGTATGACGGGAGATACGCTTGCGCTCCTGCCGGGTAAACGGGTGGTGGGCATGGCTGCCCAGTCATTACCCTCGCACTTCTGACCCCTGTTGGGGGTGTTACTGTTGTTGTTGGTCAATTGTATGTTGTGGACTAGGGGGTGTGAAGTGGAGGGCCAAGACGCGGGTCCGGCCGCGCCGACTATCTGCGCCCCCTCCCGCCTCCGGTCTTCTTGACTCTGCCTTGACACCGAGTCCAGGTGGGAAGGGCGAAGGGAGAATGCGGTCGATGCTGCGCAAGTCTATACCACTATAAAAACAAATTCACGCGCAAGTCACAGTCCCTGATGTGCAACACACGGTGGACATCGTCGGAATCGACGGCCGAACTGTCGGGTATGAAATTGGGAGCATATGCTGAAGAGTCATAAAGTCGCCGCCCAAAACATGTCATATGCACGTAACAGCCTGACACATTCTCAGCGCAGTCCGACTACTACGAGACATATGCCAATGCGACTTCCGCCGTGATCTGGCCTTGTAAGCACAAAAAACCATACACAGCGTGTCCGGGTTCCATTTGACAAGTCATATTTTCAAAGCACATGAGCTACTGAAAACATTACAATAGTATGTTTACTTTAAATTCGGCACTTCAAAAGGCAATTCCTGTTACCCTAAAATATGCTGAGATATAACTGGCCGAAGACTTACCAACGGTGAAGAAGGGCGGACTAAAGTCGACACAGCGAAGAGCATTGATGGAGGGTGGAAGCTGGGGCAGGGAACTGGGGTCTGGATTTGCACGCAGAGACTCCGGTGTCCGCGAATCCGGCGCCCGATCCCAGTAGGGCGCCAGCTGTTCCGGAGCCAGCCTCTCCAGGGGCTCAACAATCGGCCGCAGAGGGTCCGGCGGCCGGAGCACTCCGGCTATCCCCTCTCCGACTCTTCGCTGACTGAGAGCCTCAAAGGCCTTTTGGGTGTTGGGAACGAGGCCAGCGTGAAGGACAGCGGCTTTACGAGCCTTGAACTCCAGTGCTGACAGGGCGCGATCCAATTTGGGGCGAGTCACGTGACCTAGAGGATCAACCGGGAATCGTGAGAGCAATTAGCACTAATTCGTTGGATGGCTGTTCTAGCAAGTTCTAAAGAATAGACGCTCAGTGGGGACTGTTAGATCTGGGAGGTCAGATCTCCTGAAAGCGGTTCTTTAGTCGTGGTACGGTGGTTTCACAGCTGTCCCACTAGGCTAATGAGTAATGAGTCTGTGCGACCACAGGCTCGAAATTCTACTTCCGAGGCGGCGTTCTTGTTCATCGTATGGGCATAAATAAGGTGTTGGGTGGGAATGTATCCAACCGGACCGAATAGTGGTGGAAAGATGTAGTGATTGTGAGACGCAGTTTTGTGTTCGGGATGTCATTACAATTCTGTTACTGTTAAGGATTGAGTATATGCGCGGGATAAGAAATTGTCAACTACTGTTTAGTAAATTCACCAGCGTTTTAACACTCCCGCTTTACTGGTAGGCGTACTCATTCCACCTGTCACTTTTTGGATATTTTGCGATCTGAGTGCTCTCCGCGCCTAACTTTTTAGTGTTGGGCTTTCCCCCAACTAAAGAATTGCATGTGGGGTGTGCAGAACAATGAATCAATGTAAACACCTCAGCAGCACCGGCTCCTCTGGGCGGTGCATGTCGGCGAAGGGCTGACCAAAAACTTCGCAGAACAACACCTTTGAAAAATGTAGTAGGCAATTCTCCAGTTTTTCCTTACCCCGCGCATATACTTAATCCCTACCTCGTTTTTGTCCGCCTGCATGCGAACGCCGGAAGCTGCATCAGTACAGAGAAGTTACTTAGGCCGTTGGAGGTCGACGTGTCATTGGCCCCCTTAACTTTTCTCTATGTCATCGCGGCCATCCTCCGTGGCTCCGCTTAACGCGATGTCAGTCGTGGCGTTGAGCGGGAAGGTATCCAACCGGAGCAAATCGTGACCGAAAGGTGCAGTGACCGCGAGGGATGGCGAGGTGCTCTCTTTCGACGACAGTTATTCATAACATGAGGGTGCATACAACTACTTCATCTCGTCGCCTGCGCGTTCTCCGGCCCAACCTGTAAAAACCCCCCTATTGCCACCGGTCCCGTATAACAGGTGGATAGGGTGTGTTTACCTCAGGTGCGGCTACATAACCACATCCGACCGAGATGTCATCTTGTCTGAACCTCGTCGCAGCCGGAGACTTGGTCGACGGGGACAGATAAGAATACAAATGAACGTAAAGAACTCCGAGGCCCGCAGTTTAGAGTCTGCGAAATCTGTAACGCCAGGCAGCTCAACTATGCTCGGGAGTCTGTTGCCGACCGATTGCAGTGGAGAGTGATCATTCGCGATGAAGGAGACCTGTAACATAGGAGTCGGTTGAGTCATCAGATCAGATAACATCTGATTTATTAAGGGAAGCGTAGGCAGGTGTCCTTAAACTCCCTTTTGGTTACAATAACGTCATAAAAAACAATAAGTAAGGCAATTGCCAAAGAAAATTAGGTAACTAATTACATACAACATAGATCAGTCAAGGTAGATTTCGTCACAGGTACGAAGTTCGAGCGCCCACCGCGGCGTCACAATAGAGGAGTCACCAAGATAGGCTTTCATCAGTCGTCAGCACGTGGACACTCCATCGGAACCGAATCTTTTTCAGAAAGGCAAAGGTGTTGAGCATGCCACCTCTGAATCACCAGAACCATTACAAACGGAATGTTGCGACGTGCTAAAGGCCTGAGTGACTTTAAATATTCGAACTACAATTTCATTGCTGACGGTGATGATGACGTTGACGGTGCTTCCAAGCATCACGGTAAAGAATGCTAGCTCGAACGGATGGGATTACGCGGGCTGAATTCGTTCCATTTGTCATGCCGAAGACCTCTGAGGTTAGCCCATTGTCTGCTAGGCGCACTGTCAAGTCAGAGATAAGGATAGGTTCCTGAGGATGCCCCCCAAACGGGTAACGAGATAGATGCGCTGGACCAACACGGAGGCTGCATCGGGTTCTGGCAAGCGTTATCGGATTTGCGCGCCATAACAAATGCCAACATTTCGGGGTGCGGTGGCAGATCCGGTTGCCGGCAGACGTCGGGCACACTGGGACCCCTGTCGCCCCCACCATTGTTGTTGTTGCTCAAAAACCTGGTCATTTGCTGTGTGCACCAGGGGGTATGGAGTGGAGCGTAAAGGTGCGGGCTCGGCCGTACCATCCACCTGCGCCCTCCGCCGCCTCCAGTATTCTTGACTCTGTCTGGACATCGGGTCCAGGTGGGGGAGAAGGGAGTGTCGTAGGCGCTGCGCAAGTCTACTTTCACTATAAACTCATTCACGCGCAAGTCACCGTGCCTGCTGCACCTTGCTGTGTAGCACACGGTGAACATCGTCGGAATCGACGGTCGAACTGTCAGGTTCCTGAGGATTGGATTCTCTCTTAAAAGAGAGAGAAGCAGGGAGAGGGGGACTGAATCAAGCCGGCGGGAGGTGTTATTTAGCCCGCTGATCAACGTGAAAAAATCCACATGTAACCTCAAAAAACGTTGTGCTAAATAATTGTCAACAGCCTCTACAAAAAGGAAAACCCGTCTAGGGCGGCAAAAAGAGGAACACAACTTGCCCAGACTAGTTCGAATTACATCTAGTAGCCACTACACCACGGTTTCTAGGCGCACTGAAGCCTTTTTCAGGATAAAAATAGGGTACTCGCTCTCTCGCATCAAACGCAGAGACGATGGATGGCCCATGAGGTTGTGTAAATGTAACTAGAACTCACGCCAGGGTGTTTGGTATAGGATGGATCCTGTTGCCAATCCGTCGGATGAAGCTTTGCCGAACATGCCCGTCAGGTGGTAGGCTTTTAGGCAACGGGATTGAAACAGAGCATCGGCGTAAGCGTAAGCACCAACATCCCCAATACCGTAGACTAAAAAGAAAGCAAAGGTTTTTGATACTAGTTAAATGTAGAGTCCTAATAGGCCAGGAGTGTATGCAAGGGGGGATTACCGACGAAGACAGAAGAATGGAATGACGATTTCTGGCTTATTGGCCGTCATCAGTCACTCACATCCAACCCCACGTTCGCACCACCTGGGACTCGTACTCCTGGTCGCTATGCGACTGTCCTTGGAGAGTCTATACTTATACTTAAGGCACACTAGGGTGAGCAGGTCACGCGAGACGATAGGCCAGCGACCTTACTACGACAATCAATATTCCCAATGACAACCGACGGGATAACGAGTCCGTGGATCAACTGTTAAACGTTGGAGTCAATCAACAAGGAACCCGGATTCGAATCCCTGGGGTTGGGCATGGCTGGCCGATGACGGCTAGTAGGCCAGAAACGGCTTTTCCAGTCTCCCTCATATTTGCTGGAAGTCTCCTTCCGCACATATATAGATATATGTTAGGCGGCGCTCAACGATCGTTCATACGGAACTCACTCGTTCCGGTGTGCCTTAAGGGCTCTCTCTCGAGCCCAACCAGCAGCCGAGCAGCGGCGCATGATATATATAGGCAGGGCAACGGGCTCGTGGCCCGGTGAGTAGAGGCGTTGACTTCTAAACCAACAGGTCGCGAGTTCGAGGCTCGGGTGTTCCACACTTCGGGCTTGGGTATGGCTGGCTGACGACGGCTAATAAGCCAGAAATGGCCGTTCCAGTCTCCAAAGATGAAGATGCGATCACTGGGACAAGAAATTTATTTGCCTGACGTTTCGGATTCTCACTCGAACCCATCATCAGAGAAATTCGCAGATAGAGGTGCGAATTCCAGTCTCCCTTGTCTTTGTCGGTAATATCATTCTGCCTATATATCATGCGCCGCTGTGCGGCTGCTGGTTGGGCTCGAGAGAGAGCCCCTAAGGCACAACGGAACGAGTGAGTTCCGTATGAACGATCGGTGAGCGCCCCCTAACATTGTATATTCCCGATCGAAAACCGACAGGGCAACGGGCTCGTGGCCCGGTGAGTAGAGGCGTTGACTTCTAAACCAACAGGTCGCGAGTTCGAGGCTCGGGTGTTCCACACTTCGGGCTTGGGTATGGCTGGCTGACGACGGCTAATAAGCCAGAAATGAACATTTCAGTCTCCCTTGTCTTTGTCGGTAATATCATTCTGCATATAGATATATGTATTAAAGGATTGGTATCCCAAGAAATAAGAGTCGGCGTTAAATAAGTTCGTTAGTATCACCGCCATGATTCGTACCTTGTACGCCGGAGGAGAACACATCAAGAGGGTCGATTGGATTGAGGACAAAGTCCGAAGGGAGGAAGCGCTTACCAATCACTGAAAGGCAATAAGGAGTATGGAGAGGAGACATGGAGCCTACCCAGGGGATTGTCAACAATGTCCACGGCTTCTGTAACGACTGGGCAGGGGACGGTGTTGGATGAGGGCAAGACGAATGTACGAATTCGTTCATTTTCCCAGGGGAGACGGTTAAATTCTGCCCTACGGTTGGGTAAACGTGTACTTTGGCCTACCCTGAGCCAGTTTTCTGGCTATCCGTTTCTGGAACACAGTTGGGCAGGTGCCTGGTGGCTTATAGACGGAAATAAGACCCTGCAGATAAGTCAGAAGCTCCACGCGTCTCGCCATCTGGAAAAAATTAAAAATACCTAAAAAAATAAAACAGCGTACAAGTGGAGACAGGCAGGCACTGCCAGAGATTACAGATAGGCAGCGGTCAGAAGTTAAAAGAGCGGTTTGCCAACATAAAATCTAGACACATTGGTAGTGGCGCGGATCACTAAGACAAAAGTCGACTGCGATTAGCCTTAGAGGCATGACACACTGCTGTCTCACTGACAGAAGACGTGATGTCGCCCACAACAAAATGCATACAGTGCCGGCATGCGATGGAAGGTTATAAAAGGCACAGTTCTCTCACTGTCTCTGATGAACTCCTATGCACGCCTGAAGCTGAAAACAGACAGTCGACTTCCTCTCCTAGCTCGACAAATAGTGCCGAATGCCATCATAAGGGATCAAGACGATAATCATTGAAAAAGTGGGTCACCCGCGTCTCCCATATGCGAAGACGTAGAAAAGTCATGCGTGAGTACACGTTAGACTAGGAATTTATGCAATTCCACAGATAAAGATAGCTGGGGAGGATAAAGAGTGACGTTATCATCATAACCAGTTACGAGTCTGACTTCTTGGTTCCCAGGTTTTTCACACAGTGGGCGCAATAACACAAGCAGCGTGCTAGAGACTACCTTATGCCACCTGGGAGTCGTGTTCATCAGGTAGACCTGGTGACATTACGTGAATGGGAACTCCGGCTTGTCTTACGCCTCCGATCTAGAGCAAGATTACGGTGGCAATTTTGAGCTAAATTTTCCAATGAAAACTATACCGAAGCCCGAGAACACGACTACGTAAGGTCCGCGAATTAACAATACGCGGATGGAATATGGTTGGTTGACGAAGGGTGACACCACTGTCTCCGGTATTTGTCAAAATAAATCTCGGTGCCTACAGGGAAAAATTCAATCCACGTTTGTCGGACAGTCTGTCAGATTTGGTCAAGCGGGTGCGAGTTTTTATGGTTCAACTATAAGACGAACAAATCGAGGCCTTACAATGTAAACCAGAAACAAACAGCAATTTCTTTTATGACAGACCACCAGTATGGCGAGATGAGTTAGCAATGATAAATTCGGATAGCTCGTTGATGAATTGGGCACGTTTTTGGAATAAAATAAACCAAGGGCTGAAAACTGATGGAAGCCAAGAGACAACAAATGCCGACTGCTATGCTGAAAGTTTTGAAAGTTATTTTCAAAATAAAGCAGTCCTCTCTCTCTCTCTCATGGAAGGGGGCATAAAGCCAGAAAATTTCTAAAGCATTTCTAATTCCAGACGTCCCATAAACAAAAATAAATAGAGATTCCCAATCACAGAGGCTTGATGAGGCTCTGTCCTTCGTTCACGTAAGAGATAAATGGAAGGAAACCAATAGCGATGTTACATGCGGGTCTGTTCTAAAGACTTTGCCACCGGACAGAATTTCCAATAGCTGTTAAATGTGCCCGGATGGAAATAGATTGCCAGTTGGGCCTGAAACCATGCTTATATCTAAGAAAATATTATCATTGCCCGAAGGGAATGACCAATGGGATCCCCCAGTGAAAGTGCAAAGATCCAAGTTCTACGTAAGTAACACAGGCTTAGACTGATAAATGCGTTTGCGTGAAACACGAGACGTGGCTAGACAAAATGAATCTGCTATTGAATTCGGAATTCGAATTTCTGCCACTCCAGTACATAAAGCAGTGGTTACAAGCGGTTGTCAAGACTCCAAAATGAATTGGCACTTATTCGTTAGGGTGTAGGTTTGTTCGGTTACACCGCTGAAAATCGCTCATCGGTATGGTTTCAGTACCTCGTAGTGTAGACGACAAAGGTCTAGGCATGCCTTAGAGACAACATGACGTCGGTGATATTCAAGACAGCAGACCACCAGAGTGAGTTATCACCCAACTAGGCATGGGTGAAACCATATGATTTGCTCAAATACCTTACTACTTTTGAGTTATGGGCAGGAATGTGAGACGCATGTCAAGAACTGGAGCTTTAAACGCAAATATAAAAAGAGAGTTTGGACAGGATAGCTACAAGAGAGATAAACTGCAAGAGAAAAAGTACAGCTGGGGCTATAACACTTATACTGCAGGAATAAATGGAGAGCCAAAATGTCTGAGGCGACACAAAAAATGGTAAACAACAAAAGCGGGAAAAACGGCAAAAAATCGAAATACTTTTACATTAAAACACCTATGCACACAGGCACAGAGACCGGAGAGAAAATACATGCTATTCCCATGTGATGAGCAAATTTAGACATGCAGCTCATTAGAAAGGTAATAATTAACTTATGCTATTGCACATAAAAGTAGGCCGCTCCGACTTCCACAGAGGATCGAGGCGATTCTTAAACAATCTAAACACAGAGCCTCGGGGGCCTTCAGAGGTCTATGACACGTCGCGGAAAACGTAACCGTCAGAGATGCGTATGCCCAAAGCTTTAACAACGTTTAGTCATACATTTCAGAGGCATCCCAATCCGCACCGACTTCCAGGACGTCGGGAAGTTTCTGCCTCTGGGGTTAAGGCTTACTCGGGCTTCCATCTGGCTTTAGATTACAGATGGGACGGACAGGAGATTACAGGACCACAAGGGAAGAATTACATGGGCGGCGTTGTGAAAAAGTTTGAGGCACGCAGGAATTGAAAAGAATTCTCGTTTATTTGCTTCTTAGGAAGCGAATAAACGAGCAGGCGCATGATGGCCGCTGACCTACTAATATAATCTATAATCTCATAAATTCCTAAACCGACAACCGTAATCATAAGTCCTGTGAACACAGGAATTACAGCTCCGGTGCTGTGTGTCTTCTATGAGGACACAGCATACACACGCCGTGTGACCTCTGGAGCAGTATTGCCTTGTTAAATTCCTATGTAATAGTAGACGCGATAATTCTGTAACACTCCTTTCTTCTATTCTGTACGTGTCTGAAACGATTTAAAATGTAGAAAGACTAAAAGACCATCACTTATGGTTCAACCACACTAAGCCTAAAGGTACACCTGGTTCAAATTCGTGACCTATTTGTTCGTACAATAATTGGTCAAGTAGTCCATGCGCACAGATAAAGCAAACCTTCAATCCGCGAAAGCATCTGACAAATCACTGACCAGAAATACCTCCGGGTCACAACTCAGCATTCTGTACTCGTCTGCCAATATGAAAACCACTTATCTTATCTGCCTTCATTAACTTCAAGGAAATGTAAACATAGAGTATAAGTCAAAGGAGAAAAGAAAGTGGTGTAAGCGAAGGAATTTTATTAATGTTAGCCTTTCATAAGTTCACTCTTCTCATCGAACATCGTTATTCTTACTCCAAAACGATGAAGTAGAAGACAAGATCGTTCGGTAAGCATTCTTTCGCGCACTATCTCTAAGTCGAGGAGGGTAAGCAAACAGGGCAATATTCGCTTCACACATTAACCAACAGCCTAAACATATCGAAACATATATATTCTGGGCAATATATCTCTAAAGAACTTTAATACTGGCCATCGACGTCGAAATTTGTGTTTTCGATCGGAAGAATATCACGGAAGACAAGGTGTCAATCTCACCCCGCGGAGTTAATATTGCGCTGATTCCATCAGTGCCCATGAGGTATTCCACGGGACACTTAGTATTAATCTGCGTTTCTGACTAAACATCATCTGGATGTGTACCGACTTACTTTTAATTTAAATTTAAGTCGTAACTTACCAGGAACTCCCTAGAAACCATGGGAAATTAACCATAGGTCATAATGCCGAAAGACCATGCCATGTCTGACTGCAGTCAGACAGGCATATGTTATTAGAAGTTAGACGATCTATAGTTATCTAGTCACTGTATTTAAAGTTTTCACATCTTTCGTTTGCGCCAACAATGCTCCATTTCTTCAGTTCTCGGCATGATAGCAACCTGATGAGGCCCTTCTCTTTACTGTGTCATGTCTTGCCTTCACATTCCAAATAACCGGCCAGCGTATGCTGGCACGTGTCACATGTTTCATTCAATTTTTTACACCAACTCGGTTAAGTTATTTATGAATTACTTTTCCTAGTGCTCATTTGAGGCAGTGGGCACTGAAAATTACGTCAAAATCATCCGAAATTCCACGTTTAGGATTTTCGATGTTCAAAATTGAAAATATGCATAAATTTACTTTTACCTTTACAACTTTTTCACCAGACATGTTGTGTTCTTCTTTCGTTCATTTATCCATTGAAATTAGAAAGTTTAAGAAATTTTCTTGTAGCAAATTGATGGAATCATCTTTTGTTTTTCTATACAACATGACATAAGATCTTTTGGTTTTGTGGTTGCAACTAATGCTTGTATCGCATCTTTGCCTGTAGCGTAGGCTGATCGCAGTTTTTTCTGCTGACTCGATTTTCTCCCACAATGGCACAAAGGATCTTCCAGTCCTTTCGCCGATTGCCCGGTCAGTTCTCGGCTATGCGACGCAAGCAAGATAGCATAGAAGTTGTAGGAAACCACTACAAGATCAACATGGTACAATTGGTCCAATTTGATAATTATCTGTAGTTCTCAAATGTTGGATTTCCTGCCAAGCCTGCATCATTGGCGTATGATTATGCCTTGAACATATTTGCCCTTGTGACGAAAGATGGGCTTATTTACGTGTATCCTTTATTGCTTCACAGTTTTTGACCGGGCGTTGCACAGAATGATACGGTCAGTAGTGCTAGGTTCGGTATCATTCTCAAAATCTTCTTTTATTTAAGCGGCGCGGAAATAGTTTTTTGTTCTGTTTTTTGCCATCTTTGGCGTATGAGGATAGGCTGCCCTAATAGCGTCACACTTGCCTAGGACTAGCTTCTACGTTTGACCTACGACTGACTCATCTGTAGTTTCTGCAGACGCAATCCGCCCAGGAGTCCCTTCCGTTTTTGGTGCAGGCTGTACCCGGTCAGTCAATCAAATCATTTACTGCACACAAGCCGTGGATTCCGAGCTGTTAAGGCATCAATAGACAGGGGCTAGTACAGTGCTATCAG